TCTCTATTTCTGTTAGCCTATAGAATTTCCAAACATAAAGTAACCTGTTATTTTCCATCGATAATGATCACCAGAAGAGAAATGAAGCTTCCTCAAAATCTTATTGTCAAAAGATTGCCTCCCTGCGAAGAAGAACGTTCAGCCTTGACGAACATCGAACAAGACAAATTGAAAAAAGTCTACTAATTTTCTCGTAAAAACTTGAAGATTTAATGCCAGACTCAATATGCATTCTACTGTGACAACTTTTGAACGAGGTAGCCCAGTATGGTTATGCAATCCCAAATGTAAGAAAGGACTTCAACGAAACTGGGAAGGCCCGTATACCATCCTGCAGAAAATAAACGATCCAATCTGCCACATCCAGTTTTCAGCTAGAAGTAAACCCAAGGTAGTTCATATCGAGAGATTAGCTCCATACCATGGAATGATCTACCCTGTTAGTTTCAATCGGTTCCTGATAGACCAGTTCATTATCATCAACTCTGAACACAGCTCTGAACATTGCGCCATCTGAATCCAATTTGTATTCACTCTTTTTATGTCCTCTGTCCATCTCGTTGGGGTCGACCTCTATTTCTGTTAGCTTATATTCGAGATTTCCATTCAAAAATTCTTTTTGTCCACCGGTAATCAACTGATCTTGCTACATGACCAGCCCAGTTCCACTTTAGTGTTGTTATCCTTTTAATAACGTCTACTACTCCTGATATTTTGCGTATAGTAGCATTGGGTATTATATCACGTAGAGAAATCCCTTACATTATTCTCTTCATTGCCCTTTCCGCAACTTGTAGTTTCCTCACTGTTGTTCTTGTGAGTGTTAGGGTTTCTGCGCCATAGGTTATCACTGGTAAAATACACTGATTAAATCTTTTCAGCTTACAGCAAACAATAGAGCTTTTCAGCTCTATTGTTTGGTTGTCTCGACTTACTCTGATCTCATGGCCCAAGTATTTATAGGAGTCAACTGGTTCAATATCTTTGTCTTCTACTGAGATGTTTTTGTTGTGGACTAAATTTGCCATAAATTGTGTTTTTGAAAAACTTATTTTAAGACCAACTCTTTTTGTGGCAGTATGGAGTTCTTGGAGTATTATCTGTGCCTCATCAAAGCTGTCTGCAATAAGAACCATATCATCTGCAAATCTAAGGTTATTTTAAAACTTTCCATCTACATTGATGCCCTTTTCCTTCCAATCTATTATTATAGAAAATATACAAGCGTATTATAGAAAAGTTGTAAATAATTTAGGAGACATGTCATTACCGGACCAATTAATCGAGACGAATAACTATAAAGGAAGGAGCAGTGTTAGAATAGTTCCGTAAGATTGATTCCACATAGTAAAACTCTACTTGACGAAAAAAAAAGGACTAAAAATCTAGGATTTTTATGTCATCTAGAAATCCCGAAATATCTGGAACGTCAAGAAATGCTTATAAACACAGGAAATTAACAGTTTAATAACAGAATTTTTGCTGTTTCATATAAAGTAATTTTACAAAAGTGTAACAATATTATAAACTATGAATTTTTATTATATTTATTATATATATTTATAAGACAAGCATGGAAAACAACTCTGTGGCAATATTTTTTAAAAATTTTGACAAATATATATAGAATTATTGGTTAATGTTGATTTTTTTAAATTCAGTTTCAACACTGATCAAAAAGTCTCTATTTATTTACTTATGTATAATGCGTGGTGATGTACACGCTAAATATATTAAAATAGACTATACACTGGTCTTAATAAAAATTTTATTTTTACATCTTTAAAATGACCTACTTCAAATCTACCATTCAAGATAGAATTAGAACCCACATGGTGGAATTCACTGTAGGAGATTCTAAAAATAATTTTCTTTAAAAGAAACCTTATACATAAATATACAAAACTCCCCGGTTTAATTATAGCACATTTAGTAAGATGTATACAGTAGCAAGATATTTGGAGTCCCAATATTGACACTGCTGGCCCCATTAAATTTTTATTAATAGTAGGCTCAGTTTCATAAATATTGAATAATATTATAGTTTTCCATCCTATTCTTCTCAATTGCGGAAATTACTTAAAAATCTGTCGAGTATATTTCTTTCCAGCTGTTCACCCAAAAAGTACCTATCCATCCAATCGCTTTGCTGTATTAATAAATAAATTACTAGAAAGATTAATCTATAACAAAATTAGCTCGAATGTAGTTAAAGGTCATTCAATCGAAGAAGCAGGTTTTAAATTAAAACGAAGTTATACTGATTAAGTCGTATCACTCTGTACCTGTACATATCTTTCAAAGAAACCATTTTTTTTGCTGCTTGTATGTCTACAGTATGGAGAGAATTATAAATTCTATACACTTTTCCTTCTAAATTCACAGCTAGAAGATTGCTATAATAATCCAAAATCATGGAGGAAATCTAAAGTAATAGCCTTTTTAAAACCAGGAAAGGATCCAGAAGACCCTAGTAGCTACGGACCTATTTCGCTATTTTGTCACATTTTTAAACTATACGAGAGACTTATACTCCCCGGAATAGAAAAAAATGTCGACAAGCACCTCATCCCACATCAAGGAGGATTCAGACCTGGCAAATCTTGCACCAGTCAAGTCCTCGCATTAACAGAACACATTGAAGAGGGCTTTGAAGAAAAACTTATAACAGGGGCTGCTTTTGTAGATCTGACAGCAGCCTATGACACAGTAAGGCACAAAACATTGCTCCGTAAATTATACGACACTCTCAATGACCACCATCTGGGAAAGGTCGTATATTCCTTACTGCAAAATAGACGTTTTTTCGTTATGCTGGAGGGTAAAGTAAGTAGGTGGAGAGTTCAAAAAAACGGTCTCCCACAGGGAAGTGTTTTAGCACCAATTCTCTTCAATATATACACAAACGACCAACCTACTCCGACCGAAACCAAGCACTTCCTCTATGCTGACGATCTTGCAATATGTGCTCAAGGAAATAGTTTTGAAGAAGTGGAGGAGAAACTCAAAAGCAATGACAGCGTACTACCTGTAGAATTATCTGAGACCCAATCCCTCTAAAACCCAAGTTTGCGCTTTTCACCTTCGCACAAAGGAAGCCAAGCGAAAACTCCAAATTGTGTGGAATGGTAATTCATTAGAACACACAAATCAACCTATATATCTTGGAGTAACTCTGGACCGGTCCCTCACCTACAGACAACGTTGCATAAAAACAAGAGGAAAAGTATCAACTAGAAACAGCATACTTAGAAAGCTAACGGGAAGTAAATGGGGCGCACGTCCTGGCGTTTTAAGAACAACGGCACAGGCACTGTGTTTCTCAACTGCTGAATATGCGTGCCCCGTTTGGAGCACATCTGTCCACACCAAACAAGTTGATACTGCGCTAAATGAGACATGCAGGATAGTAACGGGGTGCATGAAACCAACGCCACTTTCAAATCTATATAGAGCAGCGGGTTTTGCAGAACCCTCAACATGCAGGGGCGCTGCAGAACACATAGAGAAAATTAAACAGATCGCGGACGATCGGCATGCCCTATACAAAGCTCGAACAGCACGAAAGCGACTAAAATCTAGGAAAAGCTTCCTTGGAACAGTGCAGGATGAACCGCCTGAGTATTTTCCACCTCCCCAGGTTCAATGGACCGGCCAGACCCTAGACTTTAAAACGTGGAAAACCATGGCCACAGTAAAATCAAACATGGCAAAATGGGGAAAAATATACATGGCAGAATATGGAACATCTTTTTACATGCAGAAACTGTCCTCATCGATGTACCCTTGAAGATTTGTGAATCCAACAAAGATGGAACCGACGTAGCCTGATACTGGGCCGAAATTTTATGAATGACATGTCCGGACACGATAAAGTAAAGAAAGTAAGCTATAATACACCACCGAGCATAAAATCAGGGTAATTTGAATTTATTTTAGAAATTATTATTCTGTTTTAACTATTTTCGGTTGTAACAAAGTTTACTAAAGGATTTCTTGAAAAAAAATTGTTGTCGTTTTTGTTTTTGACAAGCGTTTGAGATAAAAAGGGCCTCTTAGCCTAATTTCTAAAAACCGTTATCAGCATAGTTTTTGTTTCTATGGTTTTAACGTCAATTGTAAATTGTTTGTGTATTGTTATTGTCAGTGTATTGCAATGAGCATAAATTCTGTTGTGGCGGAGTTAGAAGATGGCCACGGTCAGCGCGAAACTGCGAGAAACGTTGGTGTAAGTCTCTCGAGTGTGCAACGAGTATAGCAAGGGTACGAAGAGACCGGTCTGCTTACTAGAAGAACTGGTTAAGGTCGAGGCAGGATTACAACAGCTAGAGATGACCGCTTTGTCATTTCTAGTGCTTTGACAAACCGAATGGTCACGGCAGTTTCTCTTCGAAATCATCTGCAAGAAGTGAGAAATGTAAACATAAGTTTGGAGACAACTTACTGCTGCTGCTTTATCTTCTCGAACTAGAATAACTGGACTGCCGCTTTCCCGTGAACACCAAATTGCCAGATTTGCACGAGCACACTTGGCTTGGACAATGCAGGATTGGAGTCGTGTATTTCCGAGCGTATTTTCCGATAAATCGAGATTCTGTCTTACGGGCTCAGACAAACGTGTAAGAGTGTGGCGACGTTCAAACGAGAGATATGCTCAAGCATGGGTTCAAATCACACGATTTGTTTGGCCTCATCGTAGTGCAGATATCAATCCCATAGAACATGTTTGGGATAAGATGAAGAGACGTTTACGGAATCATGTGCCGGCCCCCAGAAACTCGAGAGAGCTTCGCGACATATTAGTGCAAGAATGGAATAAATAATGAAATTGGAAATGAAATTTCCAATAATGGAAAAAAGCTAGTTTAATATCAACCTATCCTTGTAGTATTCTCTATCTCACCCGTATAAGTGGTTTTATTAAATAAATAGAGACTGATATATTATTTGATAAGTAATAATAATAGTTTAATAAAAAGTTAATTTATATTTTTTCATACCTTGTGACGTGGACCTTCGCTAACAGCGTTGCCATTGTGGGACCAACTGACTGTTGGACGGGGATCGGCCTGTATCCTACATTCGAATAATAATTTTTTGCCATCATCTTCTTGGCGAATTGCTGGTTTCTTCGCAAAAGTGGGTGCTAGGCCGTCTATTTGTCTGTGTAAAAAATAATAAATGTTACATCAAAAAAAGAAAACAGTCTGCAGAAATATTAAAATAACAGGTACAAAAGATTTAGTAAAAATTACAAATCTAATAATTTTATCTTAATAATCTAAGTGTTTCAATATGACTTAAACATGTGGATAAGCAATATCACAAAATGAAGTTTCTTCCTACATGTCAATATAATTGGACAACCTACATATATTATCGAAACGATTAGAAAATTCTCATTAAAAGACTAAAACAGATAATAGAAGGAAGAAACTTCATACAACTTCATCAGTCTAGTTGTAATGTTATTCTAGTGTGAATTAGATCATAAATATCCAATTTGACGAAAAATGCAGACTTGCATGGAGTGTAGTGGGATGCCGAAGCTAAACACGCTGTACTTTATATTACGGACGAACTCAAGAAATCGTTGACTGCTATAAAGGTGGGAAATGGTCATAGACTCGATGGTTCCAAAAGCGGTGACAAACATCGACAGTTTGGAGTCACGTGGCTTTTGGAACACATAAATGCACTATTTGAAACAGCGATTTTCGGAAAATTGGAAGATCTTAGGGCTGTTAGGGCTTAGACCTGTTCAACCATTCATTGAATAGTCAGATACGTTATCACCGTACAGGCAGTATGGTTTTAAAAATAACACGAGCACGGTTGCTGCGGAGATGTACAGGGAGAAAGCTGACCAGAAATGAGCGATCAGAAATGTGTTTAATACATTAAAATAGAAAGAGATAAGGAAGGCTATATGAGAGAGAATGTGTTTGGGATACTTGATGAATGTGTTCTCTGACTATTTGTCAGAGAGGAAAATTGTGATAGAAAAAAAAGTGTTGTTAAAAAAGTTGTTAGTAGCCAACAATACAGAGAGACTGTAATTCATTTCACATTTGCTGATGACCTCATTATGCTGGTGGTAGAGCCAAACAGAGAGGACTTTATTTTCAAGTCTTAGATATCATGGTATTCTCGTAGGAAGAATTCTACATAATCCAAACTGGAAGGCGATTCTGCTAATCTCTACGATTGAGGTATTTTTCAAACATTTTTACACCCCTCTTATAAAAAAAGAAACGAAAAAAAGATAAACAAATATGATCTATTAAAGAGAAGTAATGTTTTTTAAAAATGTTTCCTTTAATTTTAATAACATGCCCTTATAATGGCATAATGTTGATAACTAAAGTTTGAGAAGCAAGTGTAACGTAAAATTGCTAACAAACCAAGTATCTACTGTCAAACGTTTTCTTTAATTAACAATTGTTTTATAATATTACAAGAGATCCATCAATCCCATCAAATACCGTAAACTATATAAAAAAGACGAGGAATCCATTTAAATGGAAACCGTGTATGGTACTATTATACCATAGGAAAATTTGGTAAAGCTGTCTTTCCACACGACACCTCAAGACAATGAGTGTATTACAGAGAAATAATAAATCTTCAAGGAATTTTGAATTAACAAGGAAAATATCAGTTATAGAAGAAACAATGAGTGTTATCAATACGAGCCATCCATTGATTAAAGTTACAAATACTCACTGAGTGTGCAAGTATGCAAAGTACAAGAAAAAAGTGAAAAAAGTAATGATTTTTGTGATGTTCTTTTGGATCAGCCTCACATATATATTGATTGCTTCAAAATCAGTAATGACCAATAAGTTTTTTGGTTTTATTTACTATTAAAAAGGATTTCTACCGTTTTACTGTAACTCTCGAGATCTTTTTATCTTGGCAATCTTTGTCTTGCAGGTTTGTTCTTTCCATTGCCTTGTCTAGTTCATTTCTACATCACATTCCAGGTCATTCTTTTTCTATCGGACAATCTTATTGTTGCAACGTCCTGACTTCGCCCTTCTGACAGGAGCGTATCAAGCTATTATGTTTTCCTCTATATAATTGCTTATATCAGATTTCAATTATACTGCTTTTCCTTTATCTAATATTCAGAAGTTCAGAAGAATAACAATTAAGTAGAAAGTGAAATTGTAGATTCTAATTTTGGCTCAGACAAAATTTGTAATTTTAATTTAAGCCACTTTAGTGCTATCATGAATTTTCATTATAGTTTGTAGTAGAAAAAAACAACCGGTTATTTTTAAATGCATAGTATTTTTGAACCAATTATACATAATGAGTCGTTTGTTACACTAGTATGAGTAACTAATAATCGTCGCAATATTTGGCACTCTCAGATGTTTTCTACGCATGGTTAAAAAATGTAGGGGCAAGGTTTTGGGCCGTGCATCAATATCCGTGATGTGTCAGCAACATCCCAAAATATAGAAATGAGTCGTTTCGGAATTTATCGGGAATATTTCTGTTGGCGTGACTCAGAAAGGTCTGATTACTTAATGAATGTCTATTCGCTTACTAATAGTACTTAAATGTATCGGAAGTTTAACAGATTTAGGTTGACAGCATTCAAATCTTGAGACGAAATATAGTTATTTTATTTATATATATATATATATAATATTCTATATACTAATAATAATATATTTATATATATATTATATATAAATTTATTATATATAATATATATATATTATATATATATATATATATAGTATATATATATAACACCGGGTGGTGAATTGTCACAGGGCCATAGGAAAACTCAATGGGAAATTTTAAATTGTTGAATTGCTGCTTCCCTAATTATTTTAGATCAAAAGTCATTAAAAAACTATTTTGTTAGAGGGACTAAAAAATCAGAAATTAAAAAACAAATGTTAAAACCGTTTACGAATCAAATGTACTTCAAAATTTTGCAAAAATATAATTGATTTTTCAGACCACCCTAAAGTTAGGCCCACACGTAATACAAAGAATATAATTAAACGTGTGTCGTTTTATCATAATGATGTAAGATGTTTGACAATTGAATTGTCAATTTTTTTATTTCATGATTAAATTATATATCAATGAATTTTTACTAAATACTATATACTGAAACATGCTGCCTCTTTGTGAGACAAATAAATTATATTGTTTTACAATCGGTCAATATATAAAATGTACTCAGTTGACGAAAAATCGCATAATGTTGTATTCAGGCAATAGCGCGAACTTTCCTGTCACTACGGATTCTTTATGAATCGTAAGATATTCTAATATGTACACTCCATGTTAAGTTAAATTATACAACTATTTTAAATGAATTCCAATATACTGTGGACTGTACATACTTTATTCCTGATAAATAATATAGGATAATTTCTTAACATAAACTATAACATATGTCTTAAATAAATATGAATAAAAACATTTTTATTATTGCTTGTTCTCCTTAACTGAGTACAATTTTTAATCAACTTAATTTTTCTTTTTAAATAATAAATCAAAAATTTTGGCCATTTAAATCATAGATAAATATAATATAGTTGATTAAATATTGTCAAATATTAGAAACGTCAATATGACAAAACGCAACACGTAATACACATTTTTTTCACGGCGTCTGGCCTGACTTTTAGGGGTGGCCTGAAAAATGTATTATATTTTAGCAAAATTTTGGAATACGTTTAAGTCGTAGAACAATTTTAACAATTGTTTTCGATACATATTTGAGTCCTCTACAAATAGTTCCCTATGACTTTTGGTGTAAAATAATTAGGGAAGCAGTAATTCAACAATATAGAATTTTCCATTGAGTTTCCTATGGCCCGTTTGACGATTCACCACCCTGTATATATATATCGAGAAAAGGAGTACAACCGTCAATCCAATATAAATTAAGGATCACTCAAAGAGTGGCAGGTTTTTCTATCAAAAGTTGGAGAAAAAAAGGCAAAGATGATTGCTACTTCATCTATTTATTGAAAACGTTTCGCTATCCAATTTGATAGCATCATCAGTTCATCTAAAAAGATCAATATGAAAAACCTAACATCAAATGAAAAGTTATTAAGTGTGTTACCTCAAAAAGATATGTAGCAGTCAATGATATTAAAATTGTAAAGAAGCTTACGACAATGGACATTGTAAAATTATGTTGTATAAACAATAAATTGAACTAAATATTGTTAACAATTTTCATAAACTTAGCACAGCAAACGACATGTGGTAATTGTACATGTATATAAAAAATTCATGTAAAAAATTTATATAAAAACACACAATTAATGTGCAAAAGAACTAAAAGATCTAAGATGCACTTCCAACAGTAAATCAATAATTAAGATTTAATTTTGACTTTAGGTAGCATTATTGAAGTGATTAATTAAAAATTTAGTAATTTAAAAATATAATAAAGTTACTACTACAAGCTTCTTGACTGCTGTCGGTGAAATAAAGGCAAACAGGTGTTATAGCGCCACCAACGTGAAAACATATCTGACTGCTACATATCTTTTTGAGGTAACACACTTAATAACTTTTCATTGGATGTTAGGTTTTTCATATTGTTCTTTTTAGATGAACTGATGATGCTATCAAATTGGATAGCGAAACGTTTTCAATAAATAGATGAAGTAGCCATCATCTTTGTCTTTTTTTCTCCAACTTTTGACCGAAAAACCCGCCACTCTTCGAGTGATCCTTGATATATATTCAGATGTCCAATATTTAAATCTCTGTAATGTAAAACTCAACAAATCTCTTTATAAATTTATGGGGTAGAAGTCTTGACCGTCTAACAAAAAACAACGTGAAGTATATTGAAAGTTTTAAAATGTGTTACTTTGTATACTAACGATGACATGGGTCGATGGAGTGGCAGATAGGAAAGTGATATTATGGTTATGGGGAGAACCGAAAATTATATATCGACTAAAGAAAGAATATATCGTTACTACTTACACCAATATCATAGAGAGTGATGTTTCTACAAGTAGAAGCCAACCCTATTAATATAAACATCATCTAAGTCTATGCTCCTACTGTAGACAAAGGGGAGGAAGAGGCAATTGTGTTCTATCAAAACATCAACAGTATTATACTGATACTTATTGAAAACGCTGGATACGCTCTTGGAGCATTCTGGACAACTCCTATCGAAAAGTTACTGAGTAAAGCAGCTGAGCCACCCCTACTTTACCAAAGAATGTATTTAACACTATCACACTTAACTTCTATTACCTCAGATCCAAGTAAACCTTTGTATGACAATACCTTCAACGATAAATACATGAACTACTTTAATAATAGGTCTCACACACCAAAACCTTAGTATAAAGAATTCTAATGTACAGTTTCAAATTAAATGCGGCGAATTCAAATTTAATTTGAATTTGAGGACGCGCTTTTTGTTTTAAATAAAAACAAACTTACGACATTAAACAGGCTTTGATTTAAAACAGAGAAGAATTTGCCAAAACCGTTCTTGAACTTAGGTAGCCAAATGCACTTGCAGAAGAACACGAATATATGGGCCATCTTATGAGAAAATAGATACTTTGTACACAATATAAGGTACAATTGAACGACGAAAGAAACTTGACCATAGAATTATGTCATAGATGTGGAATTTGGGACTATTGTTTCACTTCTATCTATTCCGAGTTGGCCTGATGTGATGACGTACCAATCAAGAAGGCTGAAGTAGACTACATATTCTTTAACATTTTTTTCTTGTAAGGTTCAGTATAAAAATAACTGCCTTTTGCTGTTGATGTGCCAAAATATACAGTTTATACAGATTTTATGATGCTTATCCTGTATGTTTTTAAGATTAATTAAATGTTACACAACTTGAGTGTAAAATTCTTCCATTGAATTGGACCATACTGTTTGTAGTATCAGTCTGTTCAAAGTCACACTGACATGCCTCATAAACTTTAGATGTAGGACCAATGCCAGATGAGTGTCTAATTTGTATCTTGCTATTTCTCTTTAAAACTAATGGGCCTACCTAGCCAAGTAGAATATTTTGTAGATGAGGGTTTAGTTTATGATAAAAGGTTAGACATTTCACGCTAATATAGATTATATTATTCAAAGAAGTCTACTTACTTTTCTTTTGGTTCGTCCATGGCTGAAAAGAAAATTAATATTTAATAATTAATTAATGTTTAAAATAAAAAAAATTAAATTAAATAAATTCTCATAATTTCGTTATTTGAGTTGAATTGCACGAGACAATGAAAATAATCTGTTTTAATATTTTTAAATATTCATTTGGTAGTTAAAAAATATCAAAGTCACTTTAGGAATTTGACAAAACAAAATTTCTTGATGCTATACTGAAAGAAAATCATTTATTGTTATCTAGGGCATCTATTAACCAATATAAAATAAGAAATTGATCATATACTTGATCAGTTTTTCAAGCATGAAGAAAACTTGTTTTGCCCTATGTTGATAAAAGTATATTGACAAATTTAATGTTTATTAACAGAAGAAAGATTGAAGGTTTTCTACAGAGAAACCTATATCTGAAAATACACTGGTCATAAAAAGTATCGCCTGAGTGGAATTCAATGAAAAGATTGTGATCATTATTATTACAGTTTTACTCTTAAAGCATTTTCCAGCTCAACAAATATTTCTGGAAAAATATTTATATTCTTATATCCCTTCTAGGCTTCCCCAAATATGTTTAATAAGATTTAATCGCTGTGTAATCTAAAACTTAAATTGGAAGTTACATAAATTATTATTATCCTGGAAACTTGTGGACACACGTTGTTTTGTCTCTGACTATCAGGAGTTTCATATGAAGTTCTGTTAAAATCTCTGTAATTTTAAAAGCATCAAAGCATCGTGAAGCCACTACGAAGTTCTAAAAGTACAAAATTTTTAAACAAAATACTCTTAAACAGCACTTTTAAGATACTGTCCATAAGAACTTTTAGAACGCAATAGTAAATGTCAAAAAATCATCGATACTTCCTTTTTTATTTAATGATTTTTCCAGAAAAAAAATGCATTCACTGTGGAATACATATAGTATGAAATTATATATGAAGTACCTTGGTGTAATACTAGCTTCATAGGCCAAGTGGCTTACTTGGAATCAGCAGATAGAAGGAACAATCAAGAGTGCTGTGAATACTTTAAGAGTAGCCAGACGCACTTATGAAAAATGTAGAGTTTTAAACCAGACCTGTTATATTGGTATCATAATGTGGTTGTAAAAACCAACCAACCAATAACATACGCATGAATATTATAGTGGCCAAAGATACAGTAAAAAAGTACCATCCTCAAACTAAGCATGGTGTAAAGACTTGCTTACCTTGGAATTCAGAGGCTCTAAGGGGACAGCAACAATAGCTATACATGTTCTACTGAACCTTAATTCTTTTTAGATAGTTATAAGGTAGAATAAGGTGACACTATATCACCCAAACTATTCAATCAAGCTTTGGAAGACGTTATGAGGAAATTAAAATGGGAAAAACGGGGTATTCACATAAACGGCCAATACTTGAATCACTTGAGATATGCAGACGACATTGTATTAATAATAGATAAAAGGGAAGAATTACAAAACATGATGGACGAATAGCGAATTAACAAAATTAAGTCTACAAATGAATTATAATAAAACGAAAATTATGACCAACCAACCAGAAGAATTAATATTTACAATTGCACAAACAACTATAAAACAAGTAAAAGAATATATATTTGGGAGAACTAGTTAAATTAAATAAAAAAAATCAGACCGGATACGGTTGGCTTGGGTATCCTTTAAAAAGACCCAAAGTTTCTTTCAATACCAAAATACACAACCCCGCCAGCAGAGTTGCAGCTTGTACATATACAGGCCTAAAACTGTAGAAAAGTCTGGTGCAGGAATTACAGACGTAAAAATGTAAACATTTTTTCTACCAGGAGAATATAGTTCTGTGTTCTAAGCAGAGAGTTACTCAATCTTGCATTATGCAGAAAAATTATCACAAGAGATTTTGAAATTATCGGATCAATATATGCACAAATAGTGCAGTGGTTATGGGGGCTCTCAGGTTTTCATGGGAATGCCATGAAAAACTCAATAAACTAGCAGGTCATAACATTTCATTACTATGGGTGCCAGGTTATCGGGGAGTACATGTCCAAGATAGAGCTGATGAGAATTCCACAAGAGGATCAGCTGCAAAATACTTCGGTCCAGAGGCAGCATTAAAAGCACTGTCCGCTACCGGAAAAACCTTAAAGCAAACACAACTTCCATCGGTCAAGTACATGGCAAACGGTATATTGGACGGACGTGCGCTCATAGGGCTGAAATACTGCAAAAAACAAGCAGAAGTCAGCTACTGGACATGTGCCAGTCAAAGTACGCCTTCCTAAAATGAAACATGAAGACTTAAACTGAAGACTTTGTGACTGAGAATCTGATACAATCAACAACACTTTGCATGACTGTAAAACACTAGATCGCAGGCGGTAAACACTCTTTGGAAGCTGCTAAGTGACTCCAGAAACATATTCTACGTATCCACTAGACCTGTACCCTATACCAGTTGTTGGGGTTTCAGAATCCTGGAATGGATATCATGAATAAATAGAAAATGTACAATAAGCCAACTGGCTGAAATACGGTACGACAGGTTTATACCAGACGGATTCAGGAAAAAATTGGGTAAGTATAAATATCGTAAAAAAAAACATAAAAGTATACTATAAATTGTACTATAAATTGATATCTGATTTTCTTTTTTTTTAATCATGCGATACTTTTTGTGACACCTATTTAAAAATTAATCATAAAGATTTGTATCAAAAGAATATGATAGGATGTAGTGAAAGATCAAAACTGTGGTTTGGAAATTTTGAAAATTCTTTATAAACGGTTTTCGAATATGAAATAACATTTTGTTACTTACGGCTGAAGTTGAGATTGATAGAGGCTGCAATTTCCCCCATGGTATTTTTCGCTTTGACCTTGTAAAGGCCGGCGTCGGTTTCAATAACATCATCTAATTCGAGTACTACTAAAAATTTGTTTGTGCCTATGGATTGAATTTTGAAATTAGTCCTACTATCTTCTGAAAGTGGTATATCGCTTCGAAACCATTCGATTTCCGGTTTCGGAGCTGCCAGTAACTGGCATTCGAAAATAAGTTTGTTTCCATCGTCCTCCTGCCTCAATTGAGGCTTTTGCGTGAAGCTGGGAGCGAAATCCTCTGCCACTCCCATGCTATTGCTCTTTTACTTCGATATAGATGACATGAAATCGGCCCTGAAACAAGAATTCTAACTTTAATTTCCTATAGCAACACTAAATCGTATACTCGTGTATATATATATATATATATATATATATATATATATATATATATATATATATATATATATATATATATATATATATATCTAAAAAGAACTTCTGTTTTCACTTTGGAGCTGAAATTAATAAATAATTGATGAAAATTTTGAAAAAAAATCATCACATTTTATTTATTTGCAATTTTCTATTCATTGTTTTATTTGTTTTAGAGTTTTTTTATGTAATATGCAAAATTTGCACAATGATCCTTATATTAAACGACTTTTCCTAATGTAACAAATTTGTTTAATAGAATTATTGAATTACGATAAATGAATGTACAGAAAAAAAATTAATAGAATTGGCTTCTATTAAAAATTAAAAACTAAACAATTTCTTGTCTAAATTAAAGTTTTTTCTTAAGTTTGATCACTATAAATATTGGTATGAAGTTACCATTCTCAAAAGTAGGATGTGCCTTCAACCATTACTGATTTTTTCTATATTCAAATGCTGTATCGATGGACCTTTCTCTCGTATTCTGCCGATTATTACTCTTTATGGACTATTCTAAGCGATCGAAATAATATACAGTAGTTTTACGATTTGCCCAGTGTATTTTGTTGCTTAGAAATAACAATATAGATCAAATTGAACATGTTAGTTTCGTTATTTTGTTTAGTCTACCAAATCTCCGAATAAAACGTAAGCATGCTGATTCAGCCTCTTGATTTTCAACAAATTATATTTTACCAGGTATATCAATAAACGAGATGAGGAGATTTAGCAGCACTGTCTGTCTCTCTGGGGTTTATTTTTAAAGTAAAAATGAACCGCTCTTAGTAATGCTAAATTTAGTCTTCACAAATATACAGTGAGAACTTCATCCCAGTCAAATGTTTATTTTATCTGTATATGTGATCATGCCAAAAATTTCAGATTGATTATAGGAACTGTCAACGAATAATAAATACATGTGAAGTGAGAGTAAAAAGAAGAATGTTTTTAAAGTTGAGCAAAAGTATCGACAACGAAACAACTAATGAATAATTCACAATTTTAAACGGCTAAAACAACTAAAAGAATGACATTTTGGAATCAAATAATTCAACTAACTTATTATGCTGGATATTAGACTTTAAACTAGTATTGATAGTACTTTTAGGATGCGTTATAAGGACGACTTTAGTAGTGAATAGTTTATTGAATTATCTAAATTCATTAATTCATTATATTTAACCATTACCATTACCATGTAAATTAGAACTGCAAGCTCAGATAATAGAACAAGTAATGGAGTTACAATATATCTAGGTATCATACTATCTAGATACGGAAAGCTTGGAACAGAAGCTTGGATCCAGAAAAAGAGCAGAGTCGCAGGTTGCCTGCCTAGGAACACGACCTAACATAGAGATGACAAAAAGAATGTTAGAAACAGCAGAGATAAAAACTCTTAGAAAAATTGAACATCAGAAGAGCATCCCAATAGGAGGATGACCAGTGGGAAGACCACGAAAACGATGGAATGACAACTTACTGAAGGCACATTGAAAAACAGATAGTTATATCTACATAAAAAGAAAAAGAAGAAGTAAAATTTTCTTGTTAAAAATCGCATAGTAAAGCCTGGGAAAAGCCATACAACAACTCATGACACTATCCCAACACAGCAAAATTTTAGATTAGAATTCAGGACTATTCTTGTAGTCTGATGGTTCTGGTTTTTTTTACAAACTATTAGAAACTGCAGTCTTGCAAAGCATTCACATTCGTATGAGACCTCTAATGTAGTTTCCTCTTCTTTCAGATATAATTCTCTTCTGCTAAGCCTATACGACCCAAATGTTTTTGGGCCTACAGTAAGTATGTTATGAATTTGGCCAAGTGATTTTTACGAACTGTTTCCTAGTGTTTCCTCAGCGTTCAAGAAACTTCTTTTGCAATTCATCGATGACTGATCTTTTCTGAGATTTGCAATTCTAAAGAATTTTAGGCAAATTTGTTGGAAAATTCAGCAGTTTTCTCGTTGTACTGGTAAACGTAATACTTTGGTATCCAGTGTAGTGGCAATATATTTCGATTTCCAAGCTAATAAAAGACATCAGAACGGTTTTAGACGAGTTCGGGATTGACCTAAGTGAAACTAAGATTCTTTAGAACTGATTAACTATTGGAATAGGTCTATATTTTTGTGCTTCTTTCCGATGTGTTACATAGCTTAATTTTTTACAGCGGTAACTTCGGCCTGAAATACAGTCACATTTGTGTCCAAATTTAACTGAATTCCATCCTTGGTTGTACGCAATATATATCATCCCCTGTATCTCTCTCAGTTTTTGGAGCAGTGTATATATCAAGTTGAGTTTGCCACAACTGACAGACCAGTTCCCCAGTACTATATGTTTTCGTATTGTAATTTTAAAGTTTTTAAAAAATTTCTTTATAAAATTAATATAAAAACCCTATCGAGCTACTTCACAGAACGTTTTCGGAATAACTATTCCTTCATCAGTGCTATCTAGATTTAGCTGAATTTATTTGGGGAAAAACCTTTTAAACCTTTTATAAAGGAATTTGTTTAAATTAAACATTTTTTGTCATACATGGGATACAGCCAACTATAGGAATCTAGTTTCCTTGTAGATTGAAACTTTTTATTAAAGCTATGTCTCTAGACCATCAGGTCTACTGGCCTCCCTCAAAAGGCATCCACCATTATCTCCTGATATAACCTTGATTGATCGACTCCTTTTATGATGCTTGTAGAAGCTTGACCATATACCTGTTTGTATTTAAGTATCCTGAGATCCTGAGACGGCAAGTATTTAGTCTAATTTTTTGGTTTTTCTTAAGATATACAGATAAAGATAGACACATAAAGAAAAATAGGTAAAGTCTTGATAATTTTATACGTAAATATTGTCATCAAAAGGGCTTCTGCAGGGTTTTGCACATCTCCAACCCAATTCAACGAATACCTATATACGAATACCTGTATACGTTAAGCTTTGCAGACGATTAACTTGTGATTACACAAGACCAAGACGACCTCAGCTACATGATGAAGAAACTACAAGTAGAATCTACCAAGGATGGCCTAGATATTAACTTCGTGAAAACAGAGTACCTATCTACAAGTGAAGGAGACATAGAAGATCTACAGATTGATGACAACGTAACAATCAAAGGAAAGAATAAATTCAAATACTTGGGCGTTTATAATCACGAAAAAGGCAACAACAGAGGAAGAAATTACGCAAAGATTAGGACAAACAAGAAGAGCAATCCGAAAATTTAACTCAGTATGGTGGGATAGACAGATTTATAAAACATTAGTGCGAAGTATTATGACATATGGGGCTAAAAATTGGATTATAAACAAGAAAAACAGCAGTAAGATAGTAGCAACAGAGATGGAATGCCTGCGAAGATGCTGCAGAGTAACAAGAATGGATTCGAGAAGTAATGACGAAAAAGCAAAGAACATTAAGGCATATTGGTGTATGTCTTAAGTGGTATGGACATGTAAGAAGAACTAGCGACAGCAGATGGATAAAGAGAATAACCGAATGGGCTCCATAGGAAGGAGGAAAAGAGGACAACCCCGAAGATCCTGGAGGAATGAAGTAGACGACGCCATGAGTAATAGAGGCCTAAACGATGGAGAATGGGACAACAGAGAGAGATGGAAACGGTTGAGTGAGGGAAGGCAGTGAAAACTGTAGAATCCCTGACTATATTTATAATTTTTGTCACTGTCAAGATAAAAACTGAGAGTAGTTTGCGATTACTGTTACAGGTCACGAATGTATGAATAAATCAGAAGATAATTGTTTAAAATGTATTAGCAATAATAAGAAAAGAGGAAGCATAATTTTATAACAATTTGTTTTATAACTATATGAGTACATAGAAGCAAACTTTGATATTTTTGGTCTTTTTCATTATATTTTATTGAACAATGATATGTATTTTTGCTAAAAAGTTTCGTCAAAAAAAACAAATCTATATTTAGCAAGTAAAACAAATGTAACTTTCATTACTTTTAATTATATAATACACGGGTTATATAACACGGAGTAATAAAATTTTTATAGGTATTTCGTGCACATTAGAATACAATTAAAATTCACCGAGGTTTATGAGAATAATTTACCAAATTTATTGCTGCAGGTGCTGTGTATACGCTATAATGTAGATACTGGCATGCGTTATGCTATTTTTAAACTCTCCCCAACGGCTGTGTTTTTTGAACCATGTGTAGAGCATAAACGGTACACATTTTTAGGTAAAAATAAAATATCAAAGACAAAATACTCAAAAAAGAAATTAACACTACCAACTATCACTCATTTCACAAAAATTATTGTATTTTTAATAAATTTAAAAGAAGAATGCTATTATTACTATATCTGGTAGAGTTTTATATTACAACTCAGTCATTGAATACCCATCTGGGAGCTATAAGACCTTGTCAAGGTTGAAAAACTCTTCGTACTCAGTCGTAATCACTAATTCTGTGAGGTGAGTACGTCCGAGGACAAGGTCAGGACAGCTTAACTCAGAATATCCAAGACATCTAGATTTCATTAATTTTATTTCGCTATGCTCTCCTCTGCTTAGCTTCTAACAAAAATGGACTATGAACAAAGAAACTGAGTAGACAAAGAAAAACGCAACCTCAGTCATCCAAACACTAAGGAAATCGATCCCGACAATAAAGATAGATATGGTCTTGATAGATTTTACACTTAATTTTTGTCACTGTTAGGATAAAATCTGACTGTAGTTTGTGTTACTGTTACAAGTCATGAATGTTAGAAGAAAATTATTAGAATATAAAAAAATCCACAAGAAAAAATTCCTGTAGCTGGCTGTATACCACGTATAACAAAAAGAGGTTAATCTTTGTAAATGGGTATATTTATTTAAAAAGCCCTTAAAAGGGCCACATCAATAAAACAAACGTT